GCTCACACTCGACTATGGCTTCTCTGTCTATCAACTTGTTCTCTTCGCTCCCCAGGTTGTCTCCTGTTTTCATTCATACTTATATTGCGGGTATGACAATAGCTCATGAATTTTACACCCCAGAATTTAATGAAAGCTCAAATTTTGAGGCTCTTTTCCACATTGAGTCAATCTGTAGGGTAAATGGTCTGGATTGACAGAGTTTTCAGTGAGGTTAGTTCAATAGACTTTATAAATCGAAGTACAAAAATTTCTCTTAAATATGCAGGCAACAGAGAGGAAGCGATGTTTGCCCATATATGAACACCTTACAACTTCATAATCTTGGGTCTTTGAGTAAATGGATCCTCACCGCGGCATCTGAAAAAAGACTTATAGGAACTTCTAGAGCTAAGAAAAAGGCTAGAGTAGGGACCTCAGATGAAGAATCTGTCTCAGCTGAGAATGGATTTGGTCCAACTGAAGGTGTCAAGAAAACAAGAACTCGAAAGAAGAATAAAGTATTGGAGACCTCGTCTACTGAATCTCATTCTGCTGAAAATGGAAACGTTAAGGACGTGGACATCCGAGTGATTTCAGGATCAAGTGACACCCCCAAGAAGTCAAGGAGAGCTACTACTCAAAAGAAAGGTATGTTCTTTAAGAACTAAATTCATACTGTTTCTTCCCACTTATTACTTATTAGGCCACATTTGAGTATTTCTGGTCGAAGATTTTCAAATTCTTCAAGAACTAAAAACTCACAATTAATACATTTGTTTTCCGTTAATATATACTCCAAAATATAGCTGAAATGTGGCACAGTTCAACATATTATAGATCACAATTGTGTGCTTTGGAAATGATAATAATTATAGCTAAAAAACTGGTCACAGTTCAACATATTTGACTACAATTCTGTAGTTCCATTTGAGCATGTTGAAATTGACACTATGGAAATGATAATCTTGCAGCTACCACTTCTAGTAGATTAGACAGTGTTACAACTGAGAAGAAGGTGACTGGAAGGAAGGGAAATAAGAAGATTTTGAATGACTCTGACAATGAGCGTGCACTAGAGTTGGATATAGAAGGAGGAGAGGATATTAGCTTCACTTATGGGTGGCCACCTCTCGTTTGTATCTTCGGTGCAGCACATCAAGCATTTGTGCCTTCGGCGAGGCGGGCTCATAGACTAGTGGACCATGAAGACCATGAAAGGAGGAAAGATGTCCTCTGGACACCTGAAAAATTTATGAGAGCCCCTGGAGGTAGTGCTAGTAATGTTGCAGTTTCTCTTGCACGCTTAGGTGGAAAAGCTGCCTTCATGGGAAAGCTCGGGGACGACGATTTTGGAATTTCATTGCTCTATTTTTTGAATATCAACAATGTCCAAACCCGGTCAGTATGCATTGATAATAAAAAACAAACAGCTATTTCAAAAATGAAAATGATTAAGAGGGGTGGATTGAAAATGTCCAAGCTCCTGAAACCATGTGCCGAGGATTCCTTATCAACGTCTGAGATTAATATTGATGTGCTGAAAGAGGTAAGTTGTATCACAGGTTCTCTTTGTTGATGAGAAGAAATAACTTTCTAGGTAGTACATTCATTTTGAGGAGGGAGGAGTGTTTGCCTGGATCCTTGAAAACGTTAGGGTACCAGAAAAGGAAATCAATAGAAAGTATTTTCTTATGATGGCTTTGCCCCAAATGAAATGTCTTGTTTTTTTGTGGAAAGAAATGTGTGGTTAATATCATTGCACTTTATTCTACTCAAACGTTAACCATTACTTATACATTTCAACTAATTTATTAATAATTGTGCCAAAAAAAACCACATAAAATGAGACGGAGGTAGTATATGATTTTTTTTAGTTATTTTCATATATTTAGATTCCTTAGCCATTATATATATCACTAATAAATACTCCTCTTGTCCCTTAAAACTTTGCCATGTTTGACTAGGGGTGGACTGGGACGGTCCAGGTCAGGCCTCGGGCCCGGGTGGGCTTCGGGGCAAAGGAAATCAGGCCCAGTACTGGTACCGGTTCTGGCCCGGGTCGGGTCAGGCCTTTATTATTATTTTGTTAGTTTTGTTTTTTTAAATTAATTCCAACCCCCACCCCACCCCCAAAGCTGCTAGCTCCACCCACCTAGCAGCCAGTCCAATGGGGAAAAAAATTAATTGGTGACCGTTAGGCCCGGACGGTCTGGTCCACCAAAATAGGAGCCCGAGCCCGCCTACCTTTTCCACCGGGCCGGGTACCGCTCTTGGAAAACCAGATCGGGTCGGGACTAAACAGTAGCGGGTCGGGTCCCGGGTTGGGCAGCCCGGTCGCGGTCCATCCCTATGTTTGACCGGCACGGGAGATAATAAAGTAAAAACTGTATGGTTGAGAGTTGTGCACAAGAGAAAAATTACAGGAACAACAAACTAATTGATTAAGATCAAAAGTGTTAAAGTTTTTGAGACAAGAAAAAATGGAAAGATGTCAAGTTATAGGGGAAGGAGGGAGTATATAAAATGAGTTCAAGTAACAAGCTAAAAATAAATATATTGATTTTAAATTTTAATCATGTTTTCTGCTAAATTTTCTTTCATCTAGTATGATCATTGTTTTCCTGTTTATTTTTTAATTAGTATTTTTACATATTCCAAACAGACCCTTATTGAAGTAATAGATTTGTGGCAATCAATTGACCCCCCCCGGTCTACCCAACAATGTCGAATTGCAAGAATATTCTCAAACTGTTAACTAATAATGCTGTAGAGATATGATCAACACTTATCAGTCTATCACAAGCTTGATCTGAATTTTAAAATTTCTCAGAGTTTTTTTCATTTTACTTTCACCCCTATATTCGAGGCAAGATGTTTTCTTATTAGATCCCTAATAAAGCCTCATTAGGTTGTTGTTTGTGTAAGTTCTAGCTACAAATAGATAGAACAGTCAACACATTTTATGCTTTTTTGTAAAATCTAAATTATCAAGCTTTTCTACAATGGAGTATGATTGTAATTTTAATGATGCTTTCATCTCACTTTAATAAGTGTTTTTTGAGAGAATTTATTTATCTCAATGTAACTTGGAAATGCAGGCCAAACTGTTTTATTTCAGCACCTTTTCCCTGCTTGACCCAAACATGAGATCAACTGCCCTTGGAGCCATAAAGATATCAAAGCAGCTGGGGGGAATTGTCTTTTATGACCTCAACCTTCCTTTGCCACTCTGGAAATCGTCCAGTGAAGAAACCAAGGCTTTTGTACAACAAGCTTGGGAACTTGCAGATATTATCGAAGTCACAAAGCAGGAACTTGAATTCCTGTGTCAGATTGATCCTGTTGAAAGGTTTGACACTAAAGATAATGACAAAACTAAGTTCACTCATCATTTGCCTGAAGTTATTGCTCCGATTTGGCATGAAGGGTTGAAGGTCTTGTTTGTGACTAATGGCACTTCAAAGATACATTATTATACTAAAGAGTTCAATGGGGCTGTTCTTGGAATGGAGGATGCACCTCTCACCCCTTATACTTGTGATATGTCTGCATCTGGAGATGGCATTATTGCAGGTAAAAAGCAGTAATACAGATATTCGTTTCTTTTTTAGCTTTTGTTTATTTTCTTAAGGGTCTGTTGGGAACATAAGAGATACTAAGGAAGTAGGGTAAAAAACTAAAAAAATTCTTTTAATGTTTGATTTTAAAATACAAAGCAAATACGAGTATAAATTTGATTAACATTTTTTAATTTCTACATATATTTATATTTATTAGACTTCATATATTAGATATAATTAAATAAAACATGTTTAAAAAGTTGTTGCCCCTGTCCTCTACAACTTCCATGATTCCAAACAGGTCGTAAAAAGCTTGGGGTTTCAGTGCAACCAGTCACTATATCTATGGTATTATTGCAGAAGTCATGTACTTATAAAGTTGCTGCATAAGTTATCCGGGAGAAAGTGCAAATTGATCACTAAGGTTATGAATAAAGTTCCAATAAACCAGTAACCTTTCAAATGGACCAAAAAGGCACACATGTAAGGTTTTTGAGTTACTTTTTGACACCATGTACTCACAGAGGCATCTCAAAGGTTATATCCCAATTCATATGTACGTTTACTAGAAGCATCTTTAAGGTTTCTAAACCCTACACAATACAAGTCTTGACCTAAAACGAATTGTTCTCAAATACTTCGTTCTTTCCTACCGGATCTGATAGAAAATCAAACCCAACCCATTTCCCCTTTTCAATTTATATTTTTTGAAAAAATGATGTTGCTTACAGTTTTGCATTGAAGGGCATGACAAAAGATTTATAAACTTAAGAACTTGTCGTTAGTTGGTCCATCTTAAATGAACCAAAGAGTTGCTTGTAATGTCCTTTTTGGTTAAAAAAGAATCTTAGTGTCAAAATTGAGATTTGATAATGACCTTAATGTCCAATTTGGTCTATATCCCTACGTTATCACACAGGTGCTAATTTTTGTAATACAGTGCTTGGAGCTAATAATATTGGGATCCCTAACATATGAAACAGGTTTATTAAGAATGCTGGCAGTTCAACCTGAGCTCATCACAGACAAAGGCCACATGGAAAGCACCATAAAGTATGCTATTAACTGTGGAGTGATTGACCAATGGTTGCTGGCTCGGAAATTAGGATACCCTCCAAAAGAAGGTACCGAAAATGACGTGGAACCGGATGATAATGGCATAAGGTCTATAACAGAAAAAGAATACAGAACATATGTACCTGTACATTGATTTGTCTAGAGGGTTCTGTTTTATACTTGTTCTTTCTTTAAAGGTCTATCCAAGTGTGGGATAGAGGCCTGGCAACAGTTTGTAGAAATTTTCTGCAACCATTCTCGAAATAGTATAAAATGCTGTTGTATCATGTGCAAGCATTCTTTATGTGATTTACTAAATGAAATAAGACCTGGGAATGTAACAAAATCAGGAATGAACTTTATACCAAGAACAATTCAAGTGTTTCTTTTTTTGATTCCATTGAGAATTTGAGATCATCAATCATGAAGTAAAAAATGACATATAGAAACTAGAAGTAAACTAAAGTTTTCACATCCTCTCCTTTACTACATACAGATACATTTGGCATTGAACCTAAACTCCATTTATTCTTAGTATTGAGATTGAGAAAACTCCTCAAGCTTTGATGCAGCTGCCCTATCCAGAAACCAAACCAACTTTCCCTGACAGGGTTGGACCATCCTAGCAGGCAAAAATGGAGAATCCGGCCATTGCCTGACTTCATCAACAACCAAATGAACAGCTTCTGCCTTGGTGCTACCAACAACAACCATTGCCACGTTTGAGGCAGAGTTAATAACAGGCAAAGTAAAAGTGATCCTCTCAGGCGGGGGTTCAGGCGAGTCAGTCAAAAACGACACCCAGTCTTCTTTTTCGGCAAGGGTTGGGTGACCGGGGAATAAGGATGCCACGTGCCCATCGGGCCCCATTCCTAGAAGTATAAGGTCAAACCTGGGACTGTCGCTGAAGTCAGAGGCACTGATTACCCGAGTCTTCACTAGTTGTCTTATAACAAATTCATACTCTTCTGAAGCCTTCTCTGCTGACACTGCGTCATTGATTGAGTGTACTTGACCAGGACCAACCGGCACCTGAATGTACACCACAGACCTTAAAAGTTAGAGCCAGTTTGGAATTCCGAAAATGCTATTCAACTGAAATATGATACCCAGTAGATATTTGTAAGGAAAAGAAGTGTGGGCTATATCAAACATTGGTTCAAAGTAAAAAAAAACGGTAACCTTTTTCAAATTCAGCTGGTCTTATTAAATTCTGTTATACAAGTATTAAAAAAACTAAACAATGTGTAATTTAAATAAAAAATAGTAATCAGATTTCACTTCCAAGGGAACAGTAAATACAAGAAAATATATTTCATTAGAGAATTTAATTTAATTTCTTTACCATTTTGAGAAATCCAAGCATAACTTTATCATGGTTCCCTTTAAAAAACTAATGGTGTTTTGAAAACATTTTCCTTAGCAGAGTGCTCTACTGAAAGACCATATATATTCACAGTATACAGAAAAAATTCCAAACTATTGCAAGAAATTGTTAGTAGACTGCACATATCATAAGCCAATTTAGTCCCGGTCGACTATATACATTGTTTTTCTAAATAAGAAAGGGTTTATATTTGTGTTTTTTCTAACTTTAGACCCAATGTAGGCTGAATGTGGTAAGTAACTATGCACTTTGAACCCAATTAGTAATCACCCTATGAAAAACTCTTCTTAATCAGAACACAAAAAGGATAAGGATTAAAATGAGACTAAATTGGATAATCAAGGATCAAACTGATTAACTAACAATTATTTGCTGGAAGATGCCAGTATTCACTGTTCAAATTCCAGAAGGATAAAAATATATATATACAATGCAGGCATTTTACCTTGGACAAAAAGGCATCTTTGGTTAGTTTGTAGTTGCTATCAACATGACTCTTAGACACTGCACGTTCCTCAGCCCAAAATATGTGCCATTTTCCCCATTCCACAGTTTTGATGAAAGGCAGTTCACATAGCTTTCTGCTCCTTGCAATAAAGTTCAAAATCACATCATAAATCTCTGTTCAGGGAAAGAGATTTTGGTAGAAAATACTGACATCTATATAAGATAAGCCCAAACATTATTATTCTTACTATATATAAAGACTGACATCTTAGTACATGAAAAACTTTAAAATATACGGATTATATGTCAACTAATATTTAATTTTTCTTCACAGTTTCTAAAAATGAGCTCATCTTACATACCCCATGAGGCTAATCAGAGATCCACCGGACAATGCAATGGCAAAAGTGCCCTTTTCCTTAACCGAATCCTCAGATAATTCTGCGATATATTCCGCCAAACCTGTGCTTAGTTCATTCAGATTTTCATAAATCTTCACTTCTCTTCCATCTACTTTGGGCCCATACAAAGCCATCCTTCTCTAATCGGAAACAGTTGCAACCGGTAATCTGCACATGTCACAACAATTGAGACCAAATTTTCGTTCAGCATTAACTCTCAGTAACAAGAATTTTGAAGAAATGCAAGAAATGAAACTTCCAATATCACTATTTGGGGAGATTTCAATACCCAAGAAGATCAAAACTCTAAATAGCCAGTACAGAAAATTGACGTTTCATCGAAGAAAACAATTCATTAACACGTAATCAAACTTCATTAACAATTCTTCTAAAGGATATACCAGTATATTTAAGTTCCTGATACTAAACCTGGGGATCCAGGAATCAAGATTATCGAACTACGCCCGGAAACAAAAACACAGTCGAAATCTACCCAAAGAATGGGAGCCCATAATCAATTCTTTCCCAAATTGAACCCAAGAATTTGAAAAAACGCTATGATCAGCAGAGTATGAAGATTCTAATTTCTTGAACCAAAAACATGCATGTAAATAGAATGTAACAGAAACCGCATTTCAGCCCAGACCCAGATCAAAGATATATATCTCACTCTCAATATAGAAATTGAGTTGAAGAAGGGAATTACGATACTTGAAATCATAAACATACGAGCTGTTCTCATACCTGAGACCAGGAGTCCACAACGACTGAAGATGGAGAGATACTCGGCGTCTTTCTGAGGAGGGAGAAGCGGATTGAAGGCAAAAGAAACTGAATGAAATGCGAGATGGACATTGTGTATTTATAGGTAGGAATCATTTATAATGGACGAAGTACTTAATCCGAATTTGTTACGGAGTTTATTTATGGTTTAAGCAAATATTTTTCATATTTGTGAATTGTGAAGTTAATCAGTTATCCGAACTCCGAAGTATATCGAATCCATCGGGTAGAAAATAAATATAATTTGATTTTGGGTGGTAAGTTGTTCAATAAAAAAACAAATAAAATCGATATCTCTTTTCTAAATAGCTTTGCTGAATTATGTAGCATAATTTAGGTTTTTTCTATGTTTCATTTCTTCCAAATTAATTATTTCGCTCTCATTTTTAGCATGTTCCTAATTACATTTTTCCACTTTCTAACTTTTTCAAAGTATGTGAAACTCTATTGAAATAAGAAAGTGTAAAGTTTAATATGGTACTGACAAAAAAAGAAAAATGTAAAAATGATTCAGAACCGGAGGGAGTAAGACTTTTGTAATGAAGAGAGTATTTTTATTCTCCGCATTATTTATAGTTATATGTTAAATAAGATTTTTCTATAAATCAGCATATTCAATTAATTTTTTTAACGATTTCATTTATTTTAACTATTCAAACAACTATAACATAGTTACACAACATCATTATTATACGACTCAATTGTTTATAACAATATAAAAATGTCCTAGTATTGGGACCCACTTACATTATTAGTCTCATAGCACATTAATATTTTTACTAGAGGTTAAGGAGGGATGGGGAAGACTGGAGTAAATAAGGCTATAATTTTCTTCTTGTGAAGTTTCGAACTCAAGACTTTTCATATGAGAGATCGGTGATCAGTTGAGCTAGATCGTTTGCTAACCATTTTATTGGTATGTATTGTTTTTTTTTCTATGTTGGAGCTTCCTTTACTATCTAATTGGCAGTGAAGCCAAAACTTCTTTAGGTGCTTTGTATGAATTGTCACGTATTGTTGCTTGTATGATTGTAGCAACTCTTGAACTAACTTATTTTATAGCTGGTTAGACGGATAGTCTATATATTCTTTCCCACTGCCTAAGCTTTTTGTGCAATCCCATTTTCATCTTAGCTTTGTGCTATTGTTATCAAATCTCCTTTGTGAAGAATTAGTAGTAGACAAGGAATAGGAATTAGGAAGAATAGTGTAAGAGGGCTTAGGATGATAAACGTATGGTGTTTGTATATTTTATAATCATAGAAGTCTGGTCTGACCTAATATGTCAAAATCTTTTTGGTCTGGTCTGGTTTGAGACTGAAAACCGTCCAAATAAAACATCTTTAGTAAGACGTGATTGATCACTTTAGAACTAGTGGTGCAAAATCGGATATTAGAATTCAAATTGGGGGCCATAGAACCAGTCTCCTTTTCAAGCCATGCCATTTTTTTTAAATATAAATGAAGTAATTTATTTTAACTAACCATGTAGAAACCAATATTTAAGTACCCTAACAATGGTAGAAAAATGTGATGAAAATTTTACTGTAATTATGCAGGTCACTCATATGAAGTACCTATATTAGTGGAGTGAGTAAAAAGAAGTTACATAAATTATACAGAGTAAAAATGAAGCAATAAAATTATCTGACATAAGTTTTAAAACAAAAACAAAAGAGAAAAACATATTGTTGAATAAAATTACGTACATCCATATGCCGGCTAATCGGGAATACTTTATTGCAAAAAAGAAATGTTATCATTTAAGTAACACGAAAGCTCTATTCATTGGAAGAAAGCTCTAATCATCATTACTTTTGTGTGAAAAATAATTATTTTTATTAGTCATGTCAAATCGGTCATTTTTTCATTAATTGTTAATTCGATAGTGTCCCCACTCCCCAAACATAATGGTTCGGTATCCATACCAATTTGGTCTAACTCGTTTAACCGTTTCATTTAACAAAAAAATTTAACGAAAACAAATCGTACCAAATTAACCGTTTCATTTAACTAACTGAAACAAATCGTACCAAATTAATCTAGAACGAATTGACATTAATTAAGTTAAATATAAGCTGGTTTGGTGTGTTTTTTTTCAAATTGTATTATATGGAATGGGATTGAACTTGTAATTTGTATAGAACGGATAAAATCGAACGAAATTAAAAAATTCGATAAAAGCTTAACATACTTATGAAAAATATCATATTCGAACTGAACATAATATTGAAATTATAATTTTATTGAAGTTATAAAATTAAATAAAATATAATGATATTTCGAACATAAAATATCATATTCGAATCGAACGAAATTGTTTTTCTATAGTCATTCTTTCTGTCTGACATAATACGTAGTATTGTTTATACTCCCTCCGTCCCATAAAATAGTTCCCGGTTTCCTTTTTGGGCCGTCCCATAAAATAGTTCACATTTCCCTTTTTGGAAAGGTTTGTGTGGCTCACATTCATTTACCTTTTTCTTACTCAACCACAACCATACATTTTCACTTTATTTCCACTTTCTTAAACTCCGATCCAAGTCAATGCGTGAACTATTATATGGGACGGAGGGAGTATATGATAGTCATTCTTTCCATCTATTTAAAATTGAACTGAACAAAAAATTCATGAACCGATACTCATATTGATCATGACGACACACCCAATCATACATTTTAGTGAATGTATTTGGGCATTTCAGTCCAAAAACAATGGTTTGATCATTTTCAGCGTCCCAATAAGTGAAAAAATTGTTTGATAAATAGTTGTTCGGCACTGGCGTTTTTGGACGAAAACGCTAAAGTGAAAACGTTGCAAATAAGAAAGTTTTGGATTAACGTTTTGAAAATAACACTTTCTACTAATTTTATTGTCAAATTGCTAAATTAACAAACATATATAGACAAGAACCAATTACTCCGCTAGTCAAACCTGCTGACTGGAAAATGATATTGATAACCTACTAATCTATCCGCTAAACGAATGCCAAACACGCCTCGTGTCTAGAAACATACTACGTATTCATTTTGTTGAGTCTTAATTCATTAAACTTAATTCGTATTTTATGAGAAATGGAACTTTAGAAGAATATATCCATAAAGAAAGGGCTAATTTTTTGTTGATGGTATTGGCCCACCTCTCTTGGCTTGATCCATTCCCGTGTCATCCTTGGTCCACCTCTATTTAATAGTTTGGTCTCCTATTAAATGATCTGGCCCATTTGAGCTGTCAGCCTGACTCAGCCCATCCGCCCACTTTGTTTTCTATCCAGCCCGTGACCCTGTGGCCCCTTGATATATTTGTCTGGATGTCTCCAGATCCTCCTATTTGATCCTCTCCTCTTTCTCTCGACACGATGAGACACTCAGTGCGTTGCCCCTTTCCTAGAGTGAGAGAGAGTCTGAATCACCTGTGTGCTGTGCTCCGGTCAGCCTCCGGTGACCTTTTGGGGACCCTTTGTTGGGCTTCACTCTGGTCAGGTTGTCTGGGTGGGTTATTCTCCGTTGGGTTCTCTGGGCGTGGCTGGGGGGTTTTGGGTACCATACGAGAGTGTAGATGGTTGTTGCCCTTCATCTCCCCTGAACTGCAACCTTGGTGGTGGATGTGAGCTTGCCTTAGGGCTGTTGGTGTTTGAGGTCTGAGCTGGTAGAGGATCCTGACAGTGGTATCAGAGCTTGGACGCCGCCTCTCACTGACGCCGGGAACTCGCCGGAGACAGGGACCATCCAAACCGGTAACGCCAGGTGCTCCGTCGGAGATTGGTAAGACGGGTGTCGTTTCAGTGACACCCGCTCAGGTATAAGTCTGAAACCCTAACCTCTGGGCTGCCGGAGTGCCACCGGCCTCTGTGTTGCATGGGTGGACTTGTAACCCTAGGTTATAAATCTGCCGAGTAGAAACCCTAGAACAACCCTTGCATGTACAGTATCTGTTAGCACAGATCTGTAGAAACCCTAGGTGTAATTCGGTTGTGCATGAGTGGACCAATCTGTGTCGAACTTGGCCACTGATTATCTGTGGACTCTGATTGGCATATTAATCTGGCTCTTTGTGTGTCTTAGTCATTGATCTGCCACCCTTGTGTGTTTACCTCTGAACTCTTCCTAGCATTATTGTACTCTGCTCTTTACTGTTGTATTGCCTGTTTAATCTCTGCTCAGTCTGTCTGGCTCTACTCTCTAGTCTGAGTTCTGGTAATTGTGTAGCTTTGAACCCCTAGTTGGCTAAGGCACCTGAGGTTAGGGCTAAGGGATACCCTGCCAGCCACTTCAGTGGCCCCGGAACTGCGTGGTCTCTTAGTCCGCAGCCTGATCCTCTAGGGTTAAGCTTTTATATTACCTGAATTTCAGTTGTTGAGTGTAATCTGTTACCATGGCTTCTAACCTATATGGAATGATGCCTTTTAATGGTAAAACTGACTTTGATATATGGAAACAAAAGATTAAATGTGTGTTAATTCAACAGAAAGTGTTCAGAGCTGTTACTAATCAATACTTAGAAACTGAGGATAAACCTAAACAAGTTGAGATGAATGAGACAGCCTGTTCAACAATATACTTAAACCTGTCTGACTCTGTCCTTAGAAAGGTTGGAGTCATTGAGTCTGCTAAGGCCCTCTGGGATAAATTAGAATCTCTATATACGGATACTTCCCTTCCTGGTAAACTGTTTTTGTTGGAAAAGTTTTTTAGGTTCAGACTTGACCTAACAAAAGATATTGATGAAAACCTTGATGTTTTTAATAAACTTATCCAAAACATTAAGCAGGCTGGGGATAAACATATAGATGATTACACTGCAATAGTTTTGCTAAATGCCATACCTGATTCCTATAATGATGTTAAGTCAGCCATTAAGTATGGGAGGGATGATATTACCCTAGATATTGTTATTAATGGTCTGAGAAGTAAAGAATTGGACTTAAAACATTCTAGAAGTCATCATAGGGAATCTGGGGAAGCTCTGCTTGTTAGAGGAAGGTCTAAAAGCAGGTCTAGGCATCCTAAGAAGGATAATCATGACAAAGGAAATAAGCAAACTGGAAAGAAGAGGTTTAAGTCTAGAAAAAGGGTTTGTTACAACTGTGGTAACCCAGGACATTACATAAAAGACTGTACCCAACCTAAAAAGAATGACCAGGCTAATGTTGTGACCAATAAGGATGTAGAAGATGATGTCTTTATGGTCTGTGATGAAGCCAATTCTGTGCTTAGTAGTTTGACTGAAACTGAATGGTTAATAGACTCAGGTTGTACCTACCATATGACTCCTTTTAGAAATCTGTTTTCATCCTATAGCTTATGTGACACTGGTTTTGTTTCCTTAGCTGATAGTAAAAGGTGTAAGGTCCTTGGTATTGGTGACATCTGTCTAAAATTTGAAAATGGAACTGTCTTTCAAATAAAAAATGTTAGACATGTACCTGATTTAAGACACAACCTGTTTTCAGTATCTGCTTTTGAAGAAGGTGGTCTTGAGGGTAAATGGGGAAATGGGTGTAAGAAAATCTTAAAAAACTCCCTTGTTTTGTTCAAAGCTTTGAAACAGAACAATCTGTATGTTGTCCATGCTAAACCTTTTTCTGAAAATGCTAATGCTGTACTTAATGACAAGTCTGTGCTTTGGCACCAACGACTTGGTCATATGAGTAATAAAGGATTAAACATTTTGCATAAAAATGGGTGTTTTGGAACTGACTTGGTGTCACCTATACCATTCTGTGAAGGTTGTGTTCTAGGTAAACAACATAGGGTTCAATTTCCTGTCTCTAGCTATCCTAGTGAACCTAAGTCCAAAACTGTCCTTGACTACATACATGCTGATGTGTGGGGTCCTTCCAGTGTCCCTACCCATGGGGGTAGGAGGTATTTCTTGTCTATAATTGATGACTTTTCTAGAAAAGTCTGGGTTTGTTTGTTAGAACATAAATCTGATGTGTACATTAAGTTTAAAGAATGGAAAATTATGATAGAAAACCAAACTGGATGTAAGGTTAAAACCCTTAGAACTGACAATGGCTTAGAATTTTGCAATAATGACATGGATAAGTTGTGTATTGAAAATGGGATTAGGAGACACAAAACTGTGCCCTATACTCCCCAGCAAAATGGTTTGGCTGAGAGAATGAATAGGACCCTCCTTGATAAGGTTAGAAGTATGCTTGCTACTTCTGGTCTCCGCAAGAAGTTTTGGGGAGAAGCTGTGAACACTGCTGTCTATTTAATCAATAGATCCCCTTCTGTGCCTTTAGGGGGTAAAACCCCTGAATCTGTTTTCTCTAGAAAGCCCATTGATCTGTCAAACTTAAGAGTTTTTGGGTGTGCTGCCTTTGTGCACCAACAAACTGACAAACTTGATCCTAGGTCTAAAAAGTGTGTTTTCCTAGGTTACCCTGAAGGTGTAAAAGGCTATAGGGTATGGGATAGAAATCAACCTGGTTTTAAAGTCATTATAAGCAGAAATGTTGTGTTTAATGAAATTGATTTTCCCTGCTTAGTTAAGACTGTGACTGACCATCAAACTGAACCTGATGGCACCCCTCCAAGTGAGGTGGAGCCTATCCAACCTGCTCCCACCCCTCTGTTTAATGAATCTGAGCCTCAAGATAATTCTGACCTTACCAACACTATGCATGATACCCACTCTACCCACAGTGAGGTGGAGCAGCACACTGATTCAAACAATAGCAAGACTATGCATGAAGTGTTTACTGAAAATGAGTCTGTTGATAACTCTCATGATATTGAGGATCAAGGTCTAGAAGGATATCAACTGGCTAGAGATAGAGTTAGGAGAAATATAAGGAAAATTTCTGATAGCATGACTGATTATGCTTTTCATCTCTATGATACTTCCTTGTTTGCCTTCTCTGTTTTTGAAACTCTTGATTTGAATGAACCTAAAACCTATCAGGAAGCCCTTGCCTCTAAAGAATCTAAAAATTGGCTTAGTGCTATGCGAAGTGAAATAGATTCCCTTAAGTTGAATAAAACTTGGACCCTAGTTCCTAGGGCTCCTAATTGTTCTGTTGTTGAGTGCAAATGGCTTTTCAAAGTTAAGGAGGAACCTAATGATATTAGGTTTAAGGCTAGGTTAGTTGCCAAAGGTTTCACTCAAAAAGAAGGGGTAGATTATGCTGAAATTTTTGCTCCTGTAGTGAAGTTTACTACAATTAGGTTGATGCTTGCTCTAGTTGCCCATAATGACTGGGAAATGAAGCAGATGGATGTTACCACTGCCTTTTTACATGGTGAACTTGATAAGCAGATTTTTATGACCCAACCTGAGGGTTTTGTTGACCCTAAGTACCCTAGACATGTCTGTCTACTTAGGAAGGCCCTCTATGGCCTAAAACAATCACCTAGACAGTGGAACATTAAATTTGACCAATGCATGACTTCCTTGAGTTTCAAAAGGTCTGATTCTGACCCTTGCATGTATTTTAAGAATACTGACTCTGTACTTGTTTTCTTGTTGATCTATGTGGATGATATGCTCATTATTAGCCCCTCAGTGAATGCAATTAAGAATGTTCAAAAGTGTCTATGTGAGAATTTTGCTATGAAGGACCTAGGAGATGCTAAGAGAATCTTAGGGATTGATATCATTAGGGATAGGAGTAGATGTACCCTTACCCTTAATCAGGTCTCCTACCTTGATAAGGTTCTGAAAAAATTTAACATGAATTCTGCCCTACCTGTTAATGTGCCTCTAGCTCCTCATTTTGTCCTAAGTAAGGATCAGTCTCCTAAGACTGGCCCTGAAACCGATATGATGAAGTCTGTACCCTATTCCAATGCAATAGGGTCGGTTATGTATCTCATGGTAAGCACCAGGCCTGATATTGCCTATGCAGTCAGCTGCTTAAGCAGATATATGGCCAACCCTGGGATGCCTCATTGGAATGCCCTGAAATGGTTGCTTAGGTACCTTAAGGGTACCACCTCTCATGGTCTTGTGTTTTCTAAATCTGATTCTGGTATTTGTCTTACTGGCTATGTTGATTCCAATTATGCAAATGATAGGGATAATAGGAAGTCTACTACTTCTTATATTTTTACTTTGTGTGGTTCTTGCATAAGTTGGAAATCCCAACTTCAGCCTATTGTTGCACTTTCTACTACTGAATCTGAATACGTTGCAGCAACTGAGGCCTTTAAAGAGGCTATCTGGCTGAAACGTATTCTATCTGAAATTGGTTTTCTTAGACAGGTTGTAACTGTGTACTCTGACAGCCAGTCTGCTATACAATTATGCAAAAATCCAGTATTTCATGACAGGACCAAGCACATTGATGTCAGGTTCCACTTCATCAGGGACATTGTTGACAAAGGAGGGGTGAAGCTATGCAAAATAGCTTCTGAATTCAACCCTGCTGATATGGGGACTAAATGTCTCACTTTTGAAAAACTGTTTTCTTGTAAACGTATTCTTAATTTAGATTGTGGCTGATAAGAACAGATTAAAACAAGAAAAACCGGCGATGATGATACTCCCTTTCACATTTGTGCTCTACACCACCAAGGGGACCAATAAGGTGGAGATTGTTGATGGTATTGGCCCACCTCTCTTGGCTTGATCCATTCCCGTGTCATCCTTGGTCCACCTCTATTTAATAGTTTGGTCTCCTATTAAATGATCTGGCCCATTTGAGCTGTCAGCCTGACTCAGCCCATCCGCCCACTTTGTTTTCTATCCAGCCCGTGACCCTGTGGCCCCTTGATATATTTGTCTGGATGTCTCCAGATCCTCCTATTTGATCCTCTCCTCTTTCTCTCGACACGATGAGACACTCAGTGCGTTGCCCCTTTCCTAGAGTGAGAGAGAGTCTGAATCACCTGTGTGCTGTGCTCCGGTCAGCCTCCGGTGACCTTTTGGGGACCCTTTGTTGGGCTTCACTCTGGTCAGGTTGTCTGGGTGGGTTATTCTCCGTTGGGTTCTCTGGGCGTGGCTGGGGGGGGTTTTGGGTACCATACGAGAGTGTAGATGGTTGTTGCCCTTCATCTCCCCTGAACTGCAACCTTGGTGGTGGATGTGAGCTTGCCTTAGGGCTGTTGGTGTTTGAGGTCTGAGCTGGTAGAGGATCCTGACATTTTTTAACTTAATAATGATACAATCCATAGCTTATCATCATTATATACTAAATCACAAAAAATTAAGTTGGACTCTTTCCACGTCTATTAATTATTTGAGCTTATATATGTCACCATCCATTTTGGACTGCATGCTAAATATGTAATTGCGCAGATCGTTTTCATATGCATTTTCTCAGTACATGGTAAAGGTAACCTAGGGGTCCTGCGGTTTTAGAAATATTATAATTTAAAAATGATCTATGTAAATAATTTAGAGGGGTGCTTTTATAGTAAAAAAAACTTGAAATACTACTTATTAATTCGTACTTACCAAGATAATTCAATATCCGTGTCTTAAATTAGATACGATATAGACCTCGTTTGATAACACTGAAATCGGCTAAATTGGTTGATTATGTTAAAATTTATGAAGTTCTGGCTGAAGTGGCTGTATTGACTGATTTTACTGATATATGGGGGGATATTTAAAACATATTTTATTAATAAATTAAAGTAAAGAAAAAATTATGCCAAATACCTTGTGGTCTGATGACATCATTGTGACACTTTCAAAGAGGATGTCATAGGTTCAAATCCCATCCAATTCGAGGTTGTTGGCCTCAACAAATTAAAATAGATACTATCATAGGCTAGAAAGATTTGTCAATAAAATCAAGAAAAAATTATATAAAATGATAGCTAAAGCAGTCATTTACAATAACTTCAGACAACAAAGTCAAAAAAATAAATTTAACCTTTCTTTTTCTTATTATTACACAATTTAGTGGACGAAATCAGAAGCTAATTATGTATTTAATTAAAAAAATTGGCTGATAAGTCCTATAGAACAATTTAGCGAACAGTTTTGCATTTAGTGAACAGTTTTGCATCTCGCGACACTATTTTATACTCCGTATGTATGATCAGTGAATTCACTATTAGAACAATTGAAATAGTATCAATAAAACGGTCTAAAATATACGGAAGAGTATCAATAGTAGTTGCTACATTTAGACAGAGTTTGATGCGCCAGCAGATTTTCTTTTGGTTTGGTCACAACAGCCGCGGGCAAAGCCGCACCCTAAACTTCAATTCATGCTTTATACTTGGCTGTTCCAAATTAATCAAATGCAATCTTGATCCACTCACTCTTTTTTGTTGAATCTGAAATATAAATATGTAGTACATGTAAATTGAAATGTGTTAGAGACTGTATAACTAATCTTCTTTTGGGTCCACTTCTGAAGAACCGCGAGTTTCCATATAGGTTTGGGCCGTACAATTATGGGCCACACGTTCTAGTTGCTTCGGGGTTAGGTTTTACTCTCTATAAATATAAGTTCTCTCCCTTGTAATCAGTTGATCCGAAATTAATAACAATTCTTGGCTTGGTAACGCCCCCAGACGTAGTCCTTTGTGGCGAACTGGGTTACCATATTTCGTGTATTCTCTCTTATTGTTCTTCATTGCGTAAATTAAACCCTAACAGTAAATTGGTAAGTTAACAAGTTTAGTTATCATAAAATTGATAACTCAAAAGTAATGTGATGTACAAACTTGATATATGTACTCATTCGCGTTTGCATTTTCTATGATTGATTTTTATGTAATTTACGTTTGATTAGGATAGCAATGGGTATTTGTTAGAAAAATTTGAACATAATAAGGGGTAACAACGTAACATCAATTGGTCGATAACTCCATAACATATTAGCAAATTTTAGAGTTAAGGTTTGTCCTTCACTACTTATTTCGTCGACAATTCTATTGTTCTGTTGATTTTGTTACTTCTGTAGAGGACGATTTAAGTCAGATAGCCAGCTTAGCCTCAACTTGTATACTCCGTATTATACTATGCACTCCGTATAATATACAAATATTTAATTTTTTGAGCCCATAATTTTTAATTTTGGGGAACCGAGAGGTCCAAGCCTCACCAACCTAAAGAAAGGCACGGCCCGACCCCTATTTACCGGCCAATTTTCTATTCCAAAGTACGTCTCAATGTATGCACTAATGCCCACATATGGTGATCAGATCAGTAGCACAAGCTTGGTGAGTAGCAGTCTATGGTCCCGATTTGCGTATTCCTATATTCAACCTTAGCTTCTATGTTCAAATTTTCAAATCAATAGCTGCCAATCAAATCAAATGATGCAGCTTTCTTCCTTTCTTTTTTTTTTTTTTGGAAAAAATGGACGTAGATGAAACTAATAAAAAACGTTTAGTGTATGCATGGCTTATTTGTTCACAATAGTGCAATGAAGTGATCATTCTTGAACTTGGTTATATTTCTGGAACAGGTTGAATCCCCAACCCCAAGGGTCTCCCACGCCCCAACTCGACAGAGCATATGGAATATTGTAAATCACAATCTTTCAATCAATCCTAATGGCGGTAGAACTTATACTTGTGCGCACCAGAGGTCAAGCCCGACGCATAGGAGCTATGACCCCCATACGATCGCTGTGCGGGTTGAGCTTGATTTTATGTTTTAACCATATACAATTCAATAAAAATCATATTTGTTCACACAACATTTGTTGTTGAACATGCGGATATGTAATGTTTTAATACTACGTATTATGCATTTATATATGTTACAAACTAATACCGTGTTCTCTCTACGGTTACACACAAATCGTTGCAATAAGTTGCAAAACCCACACTTGACGGGTTTGTAAAACAAAAAATCTAGGACAAAATTATATTGGAAAGAATATAATGGAAGTATGTGGACTCACATATGGTATAGAACTATAGACGTATAGTTTACTCATCGGGAAAAATAACATTATTCATTATCAACCATAAGAATTGAAAATTAAAGTCTTAATGCACCAAACCCTATTCTAATGCTAGTATATCAATTTAGTGTATCAGTCTTTGTGTTATAATTATTTATGCACAAAGCCTCACTCCAAGAACAAAATTAACAATTTGAAAATAAGTTGTCTTAATGTTATTATTCATTTTTCATTTATTTCGAAATTAGATTTGTTGGAAATTAGATTTGTTGATATGAGGGGTTTTCACTTTAATTTATTTTCATTGACAAGATATTATCTATTTGCTCATAATTATGGAAAGTATCTTTACTTAATGTGAGTGTATGGTGCATATTTTATTGATAATATACGTAAAATGCTAAGTACTCACTTTAAGTTTGAAAAAGTAATCCTTAGTGGAAATATTAATTGAATATCCTTAGGATCTTAATTAATGAGTGCATCCACTTAGAAAGGAAATTTCTTTTTAAAAAAAAAAAAAAAAAAAAGGGTCCATATTAATGCCGTTGCATGATTACTTTTATATGTTAATACCTTTTTGATATTTGACCAAAGCTTTTGGAAAATATAAAAAGGTTTTCTTACCTAATATGCCAAACAAAATAATATCGGATTGATTGACTAAGCTTGTGTTTTGTTTGAGCAAGGCCTTAATACTTCTTGCCATAATTTGTCATTTGTGATTAATTGCTCTAATATATAATTCGAATAAATTGATAGCTCTTTAAAAGGTAACCCATCACCTTCTTGCTTTGAAAAGGTGCAAATATATTATTTCCGTATAAGGTGTTGCTTGAATATATTCCAGATATGCACCTTTGTATTACAAAATATTCTTGAGATCTTTTACTTTGACCAACGTATAAGTAATGCCATGCAAGGAAGGTATTTCAAATTTATCATGGCAAGTCCAAGCATTCAAGAAAGCCAACGAACGATGCTATATAATGGACTGAAGAGTATGCTAACGTGCGGAGTGCTGAACCGAAAAAAATATTTAGAAGAATCATTCAAGAAAAGGATCAAGTCCTTGGCGTCTGAAACTGCCCGCTCGGAGTTCTAGATAGAGTTTCTCTTTTCCCTTTCATATTGTACTTGGAATATTGAGGCTTAATTGGCTAGAGTAGCTGCCTCGGGTTAAGTGTGTGTGAGAGCTTTGTGATAAAGCTGAGAGGCTCTCTACCCGCAAGGTAGAGATGCATAACTCTTCCTAGAGAGGATAGAGTTGGGGAGGCTCAAGGGTAGATTAGGAGAATCACTCTTGTAACTCTTTCAAAGGCTTGTTTAGTGAAGTTGTTTAAAATTCCTCCGAGGGAGGTCGAGGTTTTTTAATCCCTTTGAGCCGAGGGATTTTTCCTCGTTAAATTCTCGTGCACTTTACTATTTCGCAATTCCCTTTATCCCACACTAGAACTCGGCGAAAAACTGCCACGGTTCCACACACACACAATTCACCCCCCCTCTTGTGTTGCTAACCGTTTTCATCAATTGGTATCAGAGCCGGTCTTCACCACATAAAGGCTAATACCTTGGGAAGAGATCCGGCAAAATGAATACGGTTGACCGATTGGAAGAAGGGTACTCGACTCAACGACCACCATTGTTCAATGGCAAATACTATCAATTTTGGAAGAGTCGGATGGAAAACTTTATCAAGGCCGATAACTACCAGGTTTGGAATGTAATTGAAAGTGGTGATAATGTCATCACAAAGAGAAACGCCGAAGGTAATGTTGTTCCTAAACCTAAAGTTGAATATACTTCTGAAGATTATGAGAAACTCGAGCATAATGCCCAAGCCCTTAAATATTTAATTTGTGGTCTTGGTCCTGCCGAACACAATCGGGTTCTAGGATGCAAGACTGCAAAACAAATGTGGGATTTGCTCGAGGTCACTCATGAGGGAACCTCACGTGTAAAAAAATCTAAGATTGACATATTCATGCGTAATTACGAATTATTCGTAATGAAGCCAAAAGAGTCAATTAAGGATATGATTACACGCTTTACTAACATTATCA